CTCACTTTCTCACCAGGGAACTAATCATGGTGTGTAAGCATGTGAAATCTTGTATGGGTGCATCTATGCAAGTCTAATCAGGATGGGAGTGTATGTATTGCTTCTGCAGGTGTGAGAAAAATAATCTAATCTAATTGGGGCGTGTTGCTTCTACATTTAGCACCCAGGCTTATTTATCATTGGAGAATACAGTCATATTTGTAAGTGGCCACTTTAAGAAACTGCTAGCCCCAGGAATACCTGGCTACAGTACCTGTGATGGATTGTATCTACAAAAGGGGGAATGATGTGGTGGATTGCAATAGAGAGCAGGGTTACCAGGAAGGAGGGAGCACAGTCCAGGAGGGAAGGGGGGAGACAAGAGGCAGCACAGTCCAGAGCAGGAGCATGGGAAGAGGAAGAGACTTAGGATAGCCACCCCCTAGAATCTCCTACAGTATATCCATTAGTGGTTAGTGTAGCATAGATTTAGTCTGGCAAGATTCTGTCTAGATGGCGTAAGCAATAAAAGAACTGAACTTGGTTAGATTGTTTCCCTGTTGTTCTTGGACTGAGCCTGACACTACCCTCCAAATATTATTTTTATCTTAAATATTAATTCCTTTAAATTGATTCGCCACCACTGTTGAAATTGGAATCAGTTCTTTGTGGAGCCCATTGGATATATTGCTAGTATAGGTGATCTATTAAATTATCCAGAAGCAAATAGCAAGTCAATAGATAAGTTTTCACCAGTGTACCCCATATAGCCAGAATGTTGGCAGTTGAATGTCTAAAACTGTTTCTCAAACTCAGCAACTTTAAGCTGGCTAGGAAATTCTGGGAGTTGAAGTCCATACATCTTAAAGTTGCCAAGTTTGAGAAACACTGGTCTAAAATATCTTGAGGATACACATCTATCAGTAATCTTATTTAATTTATAAGCACAAACCAAAATCTTCGTCGTAAATTTGAAGGAACTCCTGCCATGCTGAACATCCTTAATGGTGTTCCTATCATCAGTTTTAACCTAGCCCTATAAAACATTTCCTACAGCTATAATTATACTTCTATGAGCAATCTCCTTTTCTCCCTGCCTACTATCCTTCAAATGCTATTTGGGATAAGGTGACCAGTCTTCTTCTGCTTTATTTACATGATCAGGAACATTGACCTAGGCTTCTTTTCCCAATTCAAAAGCTTTCAAAAGAATTGCATTTGTTGTCTGTTACAAGACAAACACACACACAACTTCTGGTGAGGATCATGGTGAACTGGATGTCCATGAAGGAGCAGGGACAGCATTATGGAGGAGTTTGGCAGCCAGATGGTGGATCCTGGCTGACAAAATCTCTCTGGAGAAAGGAAAGATTGTGAGATTCCCCACATGTACTCCAGACAGCTCTCCTCATGAGTAGACTGCAGGAACCGAGGTTTTTGTGGTCAGCTTGCAAGTCAAGCAGCTAGGAACCAAGGGATTCCAAGTAAGCTCACAGCTGTAATGTAGCCTATATGGACACAAAGTTCAACTGCACGTCATTTCTTAATCACTTTTGGAATTACTTTTTAACTGCTTTTGGACTATTAAGACCTTTCAGAGTGGCAAGTTTTATGGCATTCACTGGGTGAGTTTCCTTCAATCCTTAGCAAAAGAAGTTTTAAGTGCAAGTTAAGGACTTAGAAAAATTCTTTTGGTAACAGCAAAATGGTGTTTAGAATGTTAATTTTGGAAAGTTACAAATGGATTAAGGGTCCAAATAGATTTGAAATAAGATTTTGAGATTAATTGTAAGAATCCTTCCCATGGGAAAATATTTTTGTTTTGAATTTTTTTTTTAAAATGATAGGATGGGACTTTGAAGGTTGGAAACTAGAGGGAACCAGAAAGAACTAAAGATTACAAGAAGAACACTTAAGTTTAACTTATTAATACAGAATGGAGCAAAATACCTTAACACTGGATAATATTTTTGAACAATGGACCCAGAAGTTAAGGTTAAGAGTGTCTGCCCTTTTAGATAGACTGCCTTTAAAAGATGTTATGGAAAAGGAGTAAGTATTACCGGACAAGACTGAGACTGATCTGAAAGTGGATTTAAAAATGACAGGCTACAAGAACCATATGGAAAAAGATGTTACACTGGATATACAAATGAAATCAGCTGATGTCTTTATAATTAAAAAGGATATACAAACAACAAGCCAAAAGAGTGATCTAGATAACTTTCCTATATTGGATTTACAAAAAAGAAAGCTTTGAAGAATTTGGTGAAAAGAGACAAAGAAAAAATGAAATCAAGTTCTAAGACATTATTTGAAAGGATTGAAAATCAAGATTGTTAAAAGTAAAAGGAAGGAATATAAAGTTGGGTTATTTGATCAAGTTTAAAATAGATATGTTGCTATCTCTGGCAACCGTTAATGGACTTTTGCTGACCAAGACTGAATGATGAGGCTTTAAGGATTTGTTTATAGATAAGAAATGAAATATGGGAAGAAAAGAACATTTGTTGTATTTTAATAGGTGATAACTTACAATTTTTATACTTGTGATGAAGGGGGAAGCCATTTCTTTATATATAATGTTCCTTTTCTATTTTTTCTATTTTTTCTTTTCTACACTTTCTAGTTTCTTTTCTTTTATTATTTGGGGGTTAATAGTTTTTAATCTTTTTAATTGTAATATTTAATAAAATTACTATGAAAAAGAAAAATGTTAGGTGCAGCAGAGTAATGAGAAGGAACCAAATGTTCTATCAAAGCCTGGCATGAATGAGTACTATTACCCAACAATCAGTGGGTTATACTGTAACCAAAGGCAGCAATGGAATGATTATTTTTAATATTTGTTAATGGGCACCTAGACCATCTTCAGCAATTCAAAGAGGTAAATTACCCTGAAACCAAAACCAGATGCTCCCTTTGAAAGACATTCTGGTTGGAGTTTTATTCACAACATTGTTTTTTTCACCCTGAGTATCATTGGCCTCTGAAATATAAGAGGGAGGCATCTGAAACCCTGTATGATTTCAGCCACAAAACACTCAAACCTTCGATCCAGGTCTAACACTTACCACCTATGGGGCAGTAATTGCCCATGTTTTCACATGGCTCTCCTGTGTTGATGGAATAAACTTATTATTTAAAACACACACACACGTCGTTCCTGTTCAAATATCCATCTCAGCAGATGGCAGCACCTAGCTGGTCTTGGCTCATCTCAGAAACAAAACTGCCAATCGCTATTTTGCTATCGCTACTCAGGCGGGCAACCACCTGGAAATTCTACAACTATTGACTCAATTGGGAAACAGGGAAATATCTCAGCAAAAGGGAAAGGTAAACCCTTCCGTAATTCTGCCATGGAAACAGCATGGGTACAATCCCCCAGAGTCAAGCTTGGCCCTAGAGATCTCTTTGTCCCTTCCTCTCCTCTCTAGATACGCTTGATGAAAACAAACCAAACAACTTCGGGCAAACATGGTTCCATTTCACAGTATGATTTATTCCCATTGTTTATTATCCAACATTTATTTGTTAGTTTGATGTACAGCCTGCTTTCAGAACGGGAGCTCAAGGCAAGGGTATACCCTCCTGTTTTCCCCACAACACCCCTGTGGGGAACCTTAGGCTAACAAAAAAAGGACTGGCTAAGAGTCGGTTATTGAGCTTCTGTGGTTGAGGGGGGACTAGAACTTGGGTCTCACCAGTGCCAGTCCAATACCTTTACCACTAGCCCACATTGGCTGTCAGCAAGCCCCAATCCTGACATTTGCTTGTGAAATACAACAGCTTGCAGGTGCCATGTCTTGGAGATGTACAACACAGAGCATGACAAGTATAAGGTTTTAAAGGGATGGTCAAGTCAGCTTTTTCCAGTATGGTATCATCTAGACAAGTTGAGGTTCAGCGCCCATAACCTCCCAACTAGCATTCCCACGAGACCAAGAATTGTACGTATGGAAGTTTGACACACATGAGGACAGCAGGCTGGGGAAAATTTGAGAAGTAGTTAGAATAGAGGTTGCTCTAACAAGATTAAGATTCCTTGTGTTACTGGATGTACTCCACTGTGAAGAAAAAGTTATTTCTTTCAAGCATATCCATTGGTAATCCTACCCCTTTAGCTGCTGAATGAATTTCATAGAATTAATTAAAGGAAAATAAATCAGAACAAGTGAACCAATGCCCTGGCAGTTCCATTGTAGCCCACGCCATCAATGCAGAGAAATTGAGGTGTCTTTAGGAATACAAAGAGTTGCTAAAAATGGTTTCTCCTTTCCACCACTTCTTATGGGCCTGTGAAGTTACAGAAGTGGCAAAAGGTTCTAAAATGTAGCTGAAAACTTAAGGGCGAAATATTCACATAATTTTAAACGCTGAGTCCTTATTTAAACATTTTCATAACATTCCATGTTACACAGCTGTAAGATGTATATGGCAAAGGTTGGAATCTGAAATGATCTGCATACCTCTAGCATACAGGACATTAAGATTCTTAGGGAGAAGAAATCCCATTTGACAAGTTTAGGGCTAGGCTGGAAAACATCCATCTCCATTGGGTTCAGTTACTGCTCTGTCTTGCTCTACTTTGCATTCCTTGGCGGGTGAAAAGCTCCAATTGCAACCAAGCTCCTTTCCAGCACCATAGACCAAACATGTGTTCACCCACTGACCGACGACCCACTTCATTCAGTATTTAATTCGAATACACATTCAAAACTTGCAGTACAGCAACAAAAGAAGTGGGAGCATATTTCATTTCAAAAGATCAAGAGTTTATTTCCATGACACAAGTCTTTTAAATAAGTGTGGCATGCAATGTTGCCTTTAAAATACCCACTCCCTCTAAAAGTGTTGTCCAAACTTGGCCACTTTAAGATGAGTGGACTTCAACTCCCAGAATTCCCC